GATAAAAAGTGGTTCTGCAGAAATTTACAGCTAACAGAACAAACTGAATAGAAACTGGGTGGAAAATTTAACGCAACAAACACAATAAAACAAAAATGTTCAGTTACAAAATGATGAAATTTAAAATTACTACACAAAACAGACCAAAACAAATCTCAACATGAAGCTGCTCTCAGAACTGATGAGCTGATTTTAAACATGTTGGAGCAAAATAAATTAAAACATTTAAGGCTTTCAGAACATTTTAAATGTTTTTTATTTAATGTTAAATTTGTTGTTAACATGAAACATAATTTATTAACTTCAACTGTGGTGTGGCTAGCACCTTCCTGTCTCCAGTTATGACTAATACTAATATTCATATTAAAAATTAATGATTTTTTCCAGGCAGAATAGGGCTTTTTTTAACTGAGTTGAATTGTTACACGTCCCTCCAGTTGTCCAGCTTTCATCCAATCAAAGCTTTATGGCTTCTTCAAAACCCACCTAAAATAGTCAATCCAACCAATAAAACTACTCCCACGCAAAAAAAAACTTCTACTTAGTGACTGCAGAGATCCCCTTCTCCATTTAACCTCCAATAAAATAAACTATCATAAATAATAATTTATTAATAATTAGGAACTAATTTAAATCTGCCTATCTTCTAGTTAAAACTAAAACACAATACCAGGTGAACAATGGAGATGAGCTACAATCTGCAAGACTGCAATTTTAAAGCAACGGATGTGAAAACAGGCCCTGATTCTGAAAAAAACTGGATGTTTGAACTAAAACCTTTTTTTCAGTAAAATGTTTAAACTCGTCTTACCAGCAGATCAGATGGTCCCACAGGAGAAACCAGAGGAAATTAACAAAACCTGAAAGAAAATAAGGTAAACGCTCTTTATTTGTCACCAATGCATGTTCCCGTTCGATAACAAGATTTGTGCTGCATTTGACCCATCACATGTGAGGAACACCTAAGTGGAGCAGTTGGGGGTAGGGTGTCTTACTCAAGGACACCACAATATGTGAGCATGGTGGGGAATCAAACCTGTGGCATTCTGGTCCCAAGTTGGCTGCCCTACCACTGCACCAAGTCAGTTGATCAACCCTCTTTGTCTTTATTAATAAATACAAAAAGATATAACACTTTATGATGCAGGCAAACCAACCGTCTTGCTTCTGTTTTTTAAGAAAACAAACATTAATGTAAAACCTGGAGGATTTATTTCCTCATTCAGCTGTCAGCTGTCTTTTCAACTACAAACTGAGTATCTATAAAATAATAAAATGTCATCTAAACGATACAAAAACCAGCAGTTCAAAGCCAGCCCATAATAATGTTTTTAAAAGAGGACATTGAAAAGGGTTGTCTGATTTTAAGTGGCAGTGCCTTCCAAAAAAAGAGGAGCCCTTTTTAAACTTACAAATAAAACAGAAAATATCAGGAAGCATCTGCAGGTGGTAGTAGAGACAGGTTTTCTGCCAACAGGGAGGAAGTTAACAAAGATCAAGTTCTATGAAATAAAACTAAATAATGACAACTTATTTGAAAGCGTAAACACAAAGCCTCTTGATTTGTTCTGTTCATGACATCATGGCTCTGCTGTTTAACTCCTGCAAACAGCTGAGCTGCACATAAACACACCATCAGACATAAATTATAAAAATGAATAAAAATCTGCAAAATATATATAAAATAAAATCAGTCATTGCTGAAACCCTAATCCTAATTAATGAAATTGGTCTTGAAATAAAAGTGATGTGATTTAATATTTTGTCTGCTGCTTCAGAACACTTTTGTTTTTAAGACTGTCCTGGATGTTTTTATCTGTGTTTTGGGTCATTACACTGTTTGAGGAACAAGCTTTCTGACACTGAGCAGCACATCTGCTTCCAGAAGGCCTTGATAGTCTTGAGATTTCTTGCACCCTGTACAGATTCCAATGCAGCAAATCAGCTCCAGAACAAAACTGAGCCTCCTCCATGTCTCACTGTATACAAATGTTTTTTTTCTGTTTCATGTTTAGATCTGTGTGGGACAGAGATTCACTCAAAAGCTTTTCAACGTCTCAATATACAGCATGACTTGGTGTCCTGAAACATATTTAAAACCTGTCTCTGGTTTCTCATATTTACTTTTATAATAAAACACGTATTTGCTTCATTACTCTTTTTAAACGTTCACTTCTTTGCTTTCAAGCCACCAAAGAGCTGAAATCATTTGTGACTCAAATTAACTTTTGGTAAAATGTGGCTCGCCTGTTATGGTATGTTTTGGAACAAGTTTATTTGCGTGCATAAAGGACATTTTTCTGTCACGAATGAGAACAATGCTCATCATTTTGACAGTAAAGAAGACTTATTTGTGCCACTCTTTGTATCGTACTTCTCACTCTTTGAAACTGTTGACACGTGAACAGTAATTATCCAAAGAAAGAGGATTTTGACCCCAGTTTACCAAACACAAGTCTGTAAGAACTGGAAAGTATATTTTTGAGACATGTAACAGAACAGATTGTTGAATTTGCAACTTTTCATTGGTTTGGTTTGTGGTGACTTTTTCCCTTCATGCAGGCTGTCTGTGGTTGTTCTGCCTGTCTGTGTTTGTCGGAGCAGATTACAGAGAGAGGACGTGCTGATGGACGTCTGGATGCAGCTGAATGAAGGTGGACGCTGTTTGTTATCGTCTAACAAGAGATAACAACACAAACCCTGACAGCCAGGAATCTTTTCATGAGGCGTTCTTTATTTATCAGTGTTTGGCGTTAAGAAAAAGAGTCATGGCTTGGTGAGTTTGTTCATTCACTCATCCATCTTTTACCACTTATTCTGTAGAATCATGGGGGCAACAGGTCCCAGCTGCACTCTCCAGGGAGGAGGATCCTAAGACTTTCCCAGAGGACCCATGATTCCTAAAGCTCAAATTAGACTCAAAGCTCCTTAATCAGTCACTTAATATTAGACTCTATCAAAAACKTTTTCAAGTCTTCTCCTTAAAGTAGCGACTATGTAGAAACTAAATGAGCTTTACAGTTTTTAGGGTCGGGCAAATCATTGTGTTTAATTAACCATCAGAAAGTCTTTATTCGGTTATTTTTTGGCACTTCATGGTTAATACGATCAATGCCACCAGGCAGACTGACTGGAGTTTTCCCCGGTCAGTCTGGTCGATTCTCCTCTCTGCTTCAAAAATAAACATTTTTTTTTGAAGTTCTGTCATTTCTTTATCATAACCTCAGTTTTACTTGGGTTATTTACACAATGTAAAAACTGATGTATAGCCTGAAGTCTGTACTTTTGACACAGTTTGGAACAGATTTTTTTTCAGAGAGCAAATCTTTCCCACTACAGTGATTTAAATTGGTCATGTGACTACATCACTCAGGTGTTGCAGGTGTCCATGTCTTATCTGCTGTCTCCCTCTTGTGTCATTACTTCTCATCTCTCCTCAGACTGTTTCCTGTCTTTCTCCCTGTCAAACACACTCACCTGTCTCTCCTTAGTAATCAATCATCCTCAGCTGGAGCTCATCATCCTCCCTCCTTCTGTTTGTTTATATTCTACCTAATCACTTCCTCACTGGTTCATTACTTGGTTCCTCTCACTGTTATGGTTCTCCTAGTTGTTCCCTTGTTGTCTCTTCACCATTCTGAGTTTTTGCTGCCACGTCAGCCTTTTTGTTTTATTTTGATAAATATTTTGATTTTTACTCGTCACCTYCATCCAGACTTGGCTTCATTCCTCATGCTCACTTTAACAGGCGTTCAGAGACTCCAGGGATTAATCGTCTTATAAATTGTTATTGGCTGAACACCACAATTAACCATGATTGCTTTTTTTTGCCAATATCACTCAACCCTTAAAAGGGGTGTAATTAGTTGGGGTGTAACAATCCGTAGACCAATATCGATATATTGTTTGAATAATAAATTATTCGATTACAACAAGGCAAAACAAAAACATAGATCCATGATGTCGTCWTATGCCTACTTAAGTATTTTTGAAAGCACGTACTTCAGTATTTTACTTTTATTGGAGTAATATTTGACCAGTAGGATCAGTACTTTGMCTCAAGCAATGAAACTGAGGCCTTCGTTTTGATGAGGGGACAGAAACAAGAAGAAGGTTCTGAGGACACCTAATGGTCCAATCAGATAACAGAAAAACTGAACCAAAAGTGAACCAACCACTGATCGACATAAACAAAACAACAGTACACAAAAATAAACAACAGATTATGATGTTATAGGATGATGTAAAGGCAGAAAATGTTTTACAGAGCTAAATTTTGATGAGGTAGCAGCTGAAAGTCATCACCAACACATCCTGTAACATCACATGAGATCTTTTTTAAAAGTTTGGCATTAAAGGCGTAGGGTGATAAGCATTGCTCTCATTAGAAACAGTGATTCATGGTGTTTTCTTCTCCTCTAACATGGGTTTAAATGTTGGATTAYGTCTGGTTTCTTATCTACGAGGTAAAACAGCACAATGTGAAGTTTTTATGAGTTTCAGTGAGGTCCAATTTGTCTCATTTTATGAATGTATCCCAGTTTGTCAGCATTTCCCTGTTCTGTGTTTGAAAACCTAATAAAACCCAAGTGGAGCTTGAACTGTCCTGACAAAGCAAATATAACACAYATGAGCTCAGCTGAGGCTGACACCCACCTGGCACGCCCAGGACTGTTTTTTTATTTTTATTTTTTTTTTTTTCAGGACCACCTTTCAGTTCATGGGAAAGAACACCAACACAATTTCATCATTTTGTGTTGGAACAAAAGCGAGCGAGGAGGTAGGTCGGCCTCTCTCTCCGGACAGCTCATGAGAGTTTTCAGCCTCTGTGTGCTCACTTTGCCTCTTTTGTGCTCCGTGACAGGCCCCTGTTACTCAATTACTGAGGAGAACCAAATGAAAATGCCAGTTAAAAAGGAAGAAAAAAAGGTAATAATCCAGCATAACGGCTCCTCGGGGAGTCGGTGATGGGTCCTGGGTCGATAGTTACGCTCGTGGTAATATGAATTCTTTGGCTGTGGCTCACGTTCACCCAGTGGAGCGTTAAAAAAAGGTGGGAGAGAGCTCTCCATGTTGCTGAATGAAACTGATATTTCTCCGGGGGGARGCTCGCAGTGGATGCTGGACAGCCTGAGAGCCTGGCAGCTTTAGGAAATGAGCACTGGGTGGCAAATAAAAGCAATCAGTGGAACAAAAAGKGTCTGGACATGAAATATCCCACCTCTCACTGTAAATGCCAGTCTTTTCTTATTAMCGCGCAACAATTCCCCCTCTGGTGAACGCTCACAAATACCATTAAAGTCCAGCACTGCCTAGACTTTAAACCAACACCATATAATTTCACCTGATTCTGTGTGGCTCTGTTTGCCTTTGGACTGTCTGTACCTGTGGTACTGCTCATCTCTGATTGGCTGACTTTACTATACCTGCTGACTCCTGGGCCTTTAAAACCATAACCCTAACCTGTWGTTCAGATGTGCCCAAAGCCATTTGATGTGGCCCACCAGCAGTTGTCCTGGTTATTAGACTGTAATCTCCTGTCCWATGTAGAAACACTATTTCCACTTTTCAACCATTGGTCCAACTATAGATACAAGGAGTTGAAGTCAGATGGTCTTAACTCACGGTACTCACTTTATCTCTGAATTATGTTAAGATTAAACATGATATACAAGTAGCTGCATTTAGATTAGATTTAAGCTCACACCTAGATTTGCACACCTTGTAAGACCACTTATACTCAACTTTTAATCTATGAAGAGTCCCATGAGCCTTTGCTGCCCGAGCATGTTTAATTTTCTCCATGTCCATGGGCTGAAAATAAAGAATGTG